GAGATATCCCTTGAATTAGGAAGAAGAGCTGATGCAGTTGTAAGGCTTGGTATAAGCCTGTAGAAAGGTCTGCGCATAACATTAACATACCACTGCCTTTCCTGACCATTACAGCTGGCGTAGACCAATGCGAGAGTGTAACTGAAGATGAAATACCCATTTGTACCAGTCGCTTCAAGTTTACTTCAACTGCAGCTTGAATTGCGCATGGTATCGGCTGTTTCTGCCAAAAAATTGGAACAGGGCCTCCTATTGGTTGCAGGCGACCTTGAAATTATGTAAAACAGCCAAATAGTTCTTGAATACTTAAAAGAATATCAAAAGTCAATTTAAATTCGTATCTGATAAAATAGCATTACAAAAGCAACTTAATGGAATTTCGGCTAATTTAATTTAAAAAATTGAAGCTCTTCCTAATACGCTGTCAGTTTCCACTTCAGATACCAGAACTCACAAACAGAACGTTGTATTGAATTAATAGGCAGTCCTCTCCTAAAAAAGCAAGCGGGCCGTTTTTATAACTGCAGAGGTGTATTGCTACTGGAGAAAGCATGAGAGACCCAATTTGTCCTCATGTACTCTCGTTAAGAATCGTAAAAGGTGATTCTGTATCCATCTGCGTGGTTATCGCATATGCATTAATTTCCAAAATGGCAAAAAATAGGCCTGTTTTCGGGTTTTTGAAATTGTGGTTAACTCGTTCTTTGTTTGTCTTCTGCTTTGACCCACCATTTGCTGCTTTTGACTTGCTCTGACAACTTCGTGCAGTAGTTGAACTGCTATTACTTAGCTCAAACTTTTGCCCTCTTTCTGTGACATTTCTTGCTCTGCAGACCCTTGGAATATGATCTTTCTAATGGCAATTCAACATTCGACTTTCCTGAATTTGTTATTCTGTCTTTTACGACTACCGCCACAACTCAAATAACGTCCGTATTATGTAATAGTTGCTACTTGTGGCAAAGAAGATGTATTAGTTGACGAGAGTGCAGTGATTGTTATAAGCTGCATAACATTCTGGACCTTAATACCAGTCGCTCCTCCGGTGATTTGCTCCTTTATCTGCGCAGTGGCCAGCGCTTGCTCTAACATGCAATTTTCTATCTTAAGAAACTTTCCATGTAAGTGTGGATTATTTATAACCAAAATGAACATAGGGCAAAAGCAGACGTATAAAAGTCACCTAATTCGCAAAATGCTGCTATGCTTTAGACAAATAACCAAGAACTTATCGTCGGAGTGCTGGAAAATCGAGAGGGCAGTATGTTATAGTCAGTAAATGCAGATGTGAGGCTGCACGTGGCAAGTATTAATTCCGCTGTGCGCCACAGAGGATTAATCAGACAGTCTTTAAACGATATTGTTTTTAGCTAGCCAAAAAACAAAGCAAGATTTGACTTTGTGATACGCTATTTAACAAGATTTACTGCTAACTTAGGTATATCTGACTGTAGTCTTGTAAAAATTTTTATCAACTGGGCTATTTTAGTGTATTTTTTAGGACATAAACTAATAAACACATGTACTGTGGCGTCAAAAAAGAGGGAACAATCAAGAAAGTTTGGTAAATAACGCATTTGCTAATAATTTTGTTGAAATTTTAATACCTTATTCATTAAAAAAAATCGTTTTTCCACTTTCCGTATATTTAAAAAGCTTATTATTTAACTGCTGTACTTCTAATTAGGTAGACTAAAAGAACAAAAATTTTTGTTATCCACATCTTTTAAAATTAAAAATTATCAAACTTCTTGAAAGACTACATTTCCGGCTGAATTACTAAATTACAATTACAATTAGCAAACATACAAAAAAATAGCTGCCAAAATATTGAAAGAAACAAAGATAACTTGTTGCTTCCCTAAACTTCGACTGTATTTTGAAAAAGCATTAAATATAGACAGTAAGACTAAAAATATATACTTTTAATAACTGCTGGAGCGATTATTGCTTCTCAATCTTGTTAATTATTTTTTTCAACTAATTTCAGACCGTAATTTGTATCACAGTTAGCGTTTTCCAACCACCAGTTCTTAACATCTCGAATAATATTTTTTGGTCTTGGTTTCTGATGAAGATACCTGCATAACGTACAGCCGCCTCCGGTCCCAAAACCATATGATTTAAGCCATTCAAAATGCCTAAAAAAGTGTCTTTTTATTCTAACTTTTCTATCATCTTCTTACTCAAATACGTTCGGGTTTTTAACATTCTAACTTCATCAGTTCTCCTCTGTTTTTTTTGAGATAATTGAGGTAACCGGCTAGTTGTTTTGGCGAATTAAAATCATCTGCAGCAATGAACGCTTTGTCTGGTAATACGTCTTTCAAAATAGATCTTTTGAGGACAATAGGTAGAAATTCTCCCAACCGCGAATACACTTTTTCGGTAATATAATCTTTGCACACACTGTTTTCAAATGCAAGGTAAAAGAGGTGTTCATCTAAATAAAAATTCAATATACAGATACCTTCAATATCCTTCTTAAGTGATTTTAGTGAGACATAAATGATTTATATAATTATGACAAGCCACAGAAAGGAACAACAAAAGCACACTCAAAACAATATCTCTCTTAAGGCCTTTTCGCGTCACTTCTTCTTCTCTTGTGAATGTAAAAGAACTGTTAAATGAAAACGAAAAAAAACTCCTTGTCGTTTTCTACAGTAAGGAAAAAAAA